TAGATTAAATAAAACATAACCTATCAAAAATTATATCTAACATAAAACCTAAACATAAAACATCCACATTAATTTACAGGAGCCAACAAAGGTTCATTAAGATATGTGAGTTGATTGTGTGGCCAGTGATGTTAACTGGGCTAACATAGTCTAACAAAGCCCGAATACAATAATACTTTTCAATCAGAAGTCTAGATTCAATTTCAGCTTTCAATTTAGGCAAAGGCATAATTGCTTTTATAAAAAGACTTGCCATTCCATGAGAAAAATTCCCAACATAGTGAAAAAAATTGAGACAAATTAAGTTAAGTTTCTTGCCAAAAGTAACATATGTAGCTATTGATTTTAATTACCCCACCACATCTTTTCATATTAAAAAATCCAGCTGGATCTGACTTTGAGAGTAAGACCTTATCACAAGTGGGGGACAGTGGAGGGAAACGTAGGGCAATTGTGGGGCAACTGAGAGAGTCATTTGGCTCTGTTACCTCCCATCAGTACCTATAGTCTCCCTATGATGTTTCCCCGTCTGTCCCTGCTTCTTCATCAGATCCTCTGCCTTTTGTGTATGACGAGTCAGGTGTCTGTCGCCAGCACAGAGCCCTACGGAGTACCACTGGAAGAAGCCCTGCATCATGTGATGGGCTCCGGGGGACTCCGTCCTGGCAGAAGAGAGAAGCAGGGAGAAGACTCTGATTCTTTCTATCTGATAAGGTTGTACATTTTCCAATATTATGTTAAAGTAGAAAGCATGAATCACATAGGTTAGTGCCAATCTAGACATTTCTCTACTCAAACAGCTTAACATATCCATTTTAGCTAAGTCTGTCAATTTCAACAATCACTCATCCCTAGTAGGTAATTCTGGATTCTTCCATGCTTGCACATGTAGCAATCTTAATGCTGTGATCAAATGCTGAAGCAATCTACCATGGGCCTTCCCCAGACATACAGCCAATAATGCCCCCCCCCCCCCCGACACACACAAAACAGTTCAGGTTTTAGTTAAGTCATATTCTTTAAAACTCTCTACATTATTATGTAAATTTGAACCCAAATTTGGGAAGAGGGGTGGGAAGGTCTTGCAAGTTTTCAAATGGGCTTATTATATAATCCCAAACCACATGGTCAAACCAATCTTTCACTACCTGCCAAATTTTAACACAATAAGGTGTCCAACTGCTCCTTGGTGCAATAGCATTTCCATTTTTTAGATGCCTCTGCCAAAAAGGAAAAGTGTAAAATAAAGTTTTGTTATTATAGTTTCCCTGTGAAGCAATTCTTGGAAGAACAAAGGAGTATGTTCCAGCACAGTTGTAATAATCACTGATATAGCTCAAATAATGAACTTTGTAGATTTTGGCAGTGGAGAGCAGTCATGAGGACAGATTACATCAGGGGTGTTGACAAGTTCTGTTAAATTCTTATATTTATATATCAACTTGAGAAGTTTCCGTGTCACACTAGGTTAGAGCTACTGTGTATCTTTTCACTAAAAAAAAAGCTTAACTTACAAGTTCCTGAATCAATAATAATATGTCAAATGTGCTCACTCTCTCTCTCTTGTTCCCTCATGGATACACACATGCACACATTATGACCCCTAAATTTCACCATGGAGGATGTCTACTGGAAGAATCTTTCCCAGAGAAGGTTTAATAACATGGGTGTATGTGTGTCTAAACCTTCTGGTTACATTTTATTTACACCAAAACACAAAAAATACTATGTTGGATCAGAACAAAAATCTGACTAGTGTATTACACTGTTTCTTGCTGTGGCCAACCTATAGCATGATACAGGCAGTTGGCTTCCCCTGGGAGGTGGTGGTGCTCTCCTCTCCATTTGCAGCACCATAGTTGAGCCCAGGAATGGGTATTCTAACCAGCTGGCATTAGCTGAGCCTTTTTCTGGGTGGCCACAACTGTTCTGTGGACCTCCTCCCCTCCTGCCCCTCCATCAAGTCTGAAGGAAGGCTTCCTTACCAAATGGCATTTTTATAATGCTGCAGCCCTTAAGCTTCCGGGTCGGGGGGGGGGGGG